GGTGTGGTTACTCTGTAAGAATGGTGTGGTTACTCTGTAAGAATGGTGTGGTTACTCTGTAAGAATGGTGTGGTTACTCTGTAAGAATGGTGTGGTTACTCTGTAAGAATGGTGTGGTTACTCTGTAAGAATGGTGTGGTTACTCTGTAAGAATGGTGTGGTTACTCTGTAAGAATGGTGTGGTTACTCTGTAAGAATGGTGTGGTTACTCTGTAAGAATGGTGTGGTTACTCTGTAAGAATGGTGTGGTTACTCTGTAAGAATGGTGTGGTTACTCTGTAAGAATGGTGTGGTTACTCTGTAAGAATGGTGTGGTTACTCTGTAAGAATGGTGTGGTTACTCTGTAAGAATGGTGTGGTTACTCTGTAAGAATGGTGTGGTTACTCTGTAAGAATGGTGTGGTTACTCTGTAAGAATGGTGTGGTTACTCTGTAAGAATGGTGTGGTTACTCTGTAAGAATGGTGTGGTTACTCTGTAAGAATGGTGTGGTTACTCTGTAAGAATGGTGTGGTTACTCTGTAAGAATGGTGTGGTTACTCTGTAAGAATGGTGTGGTTACTCTGTAAGAATGGTGTGGTTACTCTGTAAGAATGGTGTGGTTACTCTGTAAGAATGGTGTGGTTACTCTGTAAGAATGGTGTGGTTACTCTGTAAGAATGGTGTGGTTACTCTGTAAGAATGGTGTGGTTACTCTGTAAGAATGGTGTGGTTACTCTGTAAGAATGGTGTGGTTACTCTGTAAGAATGGTGTGGTTACTCTGTAAGAATGGTGTGGTTACTCTGTAAGAATGGTGTGGTTACTCTGTAAGAATGGTGTGGTTACTCTGTAAGAATGGTGTGGTTACTCTGTAAGAATGGTGTGGTTACTCTGTAAGAATGGTGTGGTTACTCTGTAAGAATGGTGTGGTTACTCTGTAAGAATGGTGTGGTTACTCTGTAAGAATGGTGTGGTTACTCTGTAAGAATGGTGTGGTTACTCTGTAAGAATGGTGTGGTTACTCTGTAAGAATGGTGTGGTTACTCTGTAAGAATGGTGTGGTTACTCTGTAAGAATGGTGTGGTTACTCTGTAAGAATGGTGTGGTTACTCTGTAAGAATGGTGTGGTTACTCTGTAAGAATGGTGTGGTTACTCTGTAAGAATGGTGTGGTTACTCTGTAAGAATGGTGTGGTTACTCTGTAAGAATGGTGTGGTTACTCTGTAAGAATGGTGTGGTTACTCTGTAAGAATGGTGTGGTTACTCTGTAAGAATGGTGTGGTTACTCTGTAAGAATGGTGTGGTTACTCTGTAAGAATGGTGTGGTTACTCTGTAAGAATGGTGTGGTTACTCTGTAAGAATGGTGTGGTTACTCTGTAAGAATGGTGTGGTTACTCTGTAAGAATGGTGTGGTTACTCTGTAAGAATGGTGTGGTTACTCTGTAAGAATGGTGTGGTTACTCTGTAAGAATGGTGTGGTTACTCTGTAAGAATGGTGTGGTTACTCTGTAAGAATGGTGTGGTTACTCTGTAAGAATGGTGTGGTTACTCTGTAAGAATGGTGTGGTTACTCTGTAAGAATGGTGTGGTTACTCTGTAAGAATGGTGTGGTTACTCTGTAAGAATGGTGTGGTTACTCTGTAAGAATGGTGTGGTTACTCTGTAAGAATGGTGTGGTTACTCTGTAAGAATGGTGTGGTTACTCTGTAAGAATGGTGTGGTTACTCTGTAAGAATGGTGTGGTTACTCTGTAAGAATGGTGTGGTTACTCTGTAAGAATGGTGTGGTTACTCTGTAAGAATGGTGTGGTTACTCTGTAAGAATGGTGTGGTTACTCTGTAAGAATGGTGTGGTTACTCTGTAAGAATGGTGTGGTTACTCTGTAAGAATGGTGTGGTTACTCTGTAAGAATGGTGTGGTTACTCTGTAAGAATGGTGTGGTTACTCTGTAAGAATGGTGTGGTTACTCTGTAAGAATGGTGTGGTTACTCTGTAAGAATGGTGTGGTTACTCTGTAAGAATGGTGTGGTTACTCTGTAAGAATGGTGTGGTTACTCTGTAAGAATGGTGTGGTTACTCTGTAAGAATGGTGTGGTTACTCTGTAAGAATGGTGTGGTTACTCTGTAAGAATGGTGTGGTTACTCTGTAAGAATGGTGTGGTTACTCTGTAAGAATGGTGTGGTTACTCTGTAAGAATGGTGTGGTTACTCTGTAAGAATGGTGTGGTTACTCTGTAAGAATGGTGTGGTTACTCTGTAAGAATGGTGTGGTTACTCTGTAAGAATGGTGTGGTTACTCTGTAAGAATGGTGTGGTTACTCTGTAAGAATGGTGTGGTTACTCTGTAAGAATGGTGTGGTTACTCTGTAAGAATGGTGTGGTTACTCTGTAAGAATGGTGTGGTTACTCTGTAAGAATGGTGTGGTTACTCTGTAAGAATGGTGTGGTTACTCTGTAAGAATGGTGTGGTTACTCTGTAAGAATGGTGTGGTTACTCTGTAAGAATGGTGTGGTTACTCTGTAAGAATGGTGTGGTTACTCTGTAAGAATGGTGTGGTTACTCTGTAAGAATGGTGTGGTTACTCTGTAAGAATGGTGTGGTTACTCTGTAAGAATGGTGTGGTTACTCTGTAAGAATGGTGTGGTTACTCTGTAAGAATGGTGTGGTTACTCTGTAAGAATGGTGTGGTTACTCTGTAAGAATGGTGTGGTTACTCTGTAAGAATGGTGTGGTTACTCTGTAAGAATGGTGTGGTTACTCTGTAAGAATGGTGTGGTTACTCTGTAAGAATGGTGTGGTTACTCTGTAAGAATGGTGTGGTTACTCTGTAAGAATGGTGTGGTTACTCTGTAAGAATGGTGTGGTTACTCTGTAAGAATGGTGTGGTTACTCTGTAAGAATGGTGTGGTTACTCTGTAAGAATGGTGTGGTTACTCTGTAAGAATGTTGTGGTTACTCTTGGTTACTTCTTGGTTACTCTGTAAGAATGGTGTGGTTACTCTTGGTTACTTCTTGGTTACTCTGTAAGAATGGTGTGGTTACTCTTTAAGAATGGTGTGGTTACTCTGTAAGAATGGTGTAAATACTCTGTAATAATGGTGTGGTTACTCTTGGTTACTCTGTAAGAATGGTGTGGTTACTCTTGGTTACTCTGTAAGAATGGTGTAAATACTCTGTAAGAATGGTGTGGTTACTCTGTAAGAATGGTGTGGTTACTCTGTAAGAATGGTGTGGTTACTACTCTGTAAGAATGGTGTGGTTACTCTGTAAGAATGGTGTGGTTACTCTGTAAGAATGGTGTGGTTACTCTGAAAGTATCAAACTGTACAACTTGGTAAAGTGATCAGAGGGGTGGCTCGGATATGATCCGTATATAAAATTACAACTATTGCACAGCTGGTACTGGCATTAATACATGTACCTTTGACTTGAATTATTAAAAAAATGTTGACTTTTCCTAAACTTTGGTTGATGAGACGGCAAATTTTCATGAGTGTAATAATCCATAAAAATTCTGAAATAATATTCTCATGACCTATCGCCTCTCAAATAAATGGGTAATATTTAGTTGTACTAAGACCACTTTGATTTATCACATTCTAAAGAGTTGGACCAGATGTAGTGTTGATCGTTTATTAACAAGAAAGACCAGTGGTCTGATGTTTTCTGGTGAACCATGTTTGGCCAAGACTTTTAGGTAGCGTGACATTCACAGGTCTGGTGAACCATGTTTCGCCAAGACTTTTAGGTAGCGTGACATTCACAGGTCTGGTGAACCAAGTTTGGCAAAGACTTTTAGGTAGCGTGACATTCACAGGTCTGGTGAACTAAGTTTGGCAAAGACTTTGATCAGGTAGCATGACATTCACAGGTCTGGTGAACCAAGTTTGGCCAAGACTTTTAGGTAGCATGACATTCACAGGTCTGGCGAACTAAGTTTGGCAAAGACTTTTACGTAGTATACACAGGTCTACAAGTCTTTACCTGAAGAAACATTACATTAGTTTCTCCAATGAATATATTCCAGTTACTCTGCAAAACAGAGAAGACCCTATGTAAGATTATTATATAAAATTAAGATATTACAATTTGTACTCTGTAGATCACTAGTTTTTCATTTACTTTATTTCATGAACTAAGCCTGGAAGATTTATTTGTTGGTGAGAGGATGCTACGCTGTTGATTTATAATTCTTGAAATATTCAAAGTTAGTGAGTTTTGTGAATTAAAGCAGAAAATAATTTCCCATGAAAATAAAGTGATTTACAGTACTTTAAAACCCTCACTGGTTATAGACAGGAGACTACACACTGGCTTCATCTACTGCTATAAACATGTCTTCTGTTTTAATTGGCTGCTCCCATTTTCTTTGTAAAATCAATGTTTACTTGAGAGTCATTGAGCAATATGACGTTTTAGTTAATTAACCTGGCTTTGAAATGTTTGAAAAGGTGACATCGGTGGAGATATAATGTTGTCTCACCAGACCGGTTCCATTAGTTTAAGTCATTCCAACCCTGATAATTTAGTTATTTGTACGCTAATCTTTTTTTCTACATTTGAATAAAATCTTATCAGCTTTGAAATGCAGCCTGTTCAGACTGACTCATCCATGAATGAAACTTGCTGACTGGATGGAAATTCACTGTGAATTATGCTAAGTTCAATATTGTCTAGATTCTTGTACATCGAACTTTCAGATTGATATTTAAGGCAGCTTGAGTTGACCACAGCTTGAGTTGACCACAGCTTGGGAAGGTGGAGGAGGTGGAATTCTTCATGACCAGAGTATTTACCACATTCAAGAGGGAGTTATTCTGTCTTTGTAATGCTAAGTGCTACTAAAAACATAGCAATGTACAAAAAATGTTATTTACATGGAAAAGGAAATCATTTTTTATTTCTTTTTTTTTTTTAAATCTAAACATTTTATTAAATTAATTTTATATATCAGACAGGTAACTATATAATATAGTTTTGTGTATGATTGAAAAGACTAACTATCATTATTTTTTGCAGGTTGTAATGTAGGAGAATGCCCCCACCCCAGAGGTTGCGTCGGCCTCGCCCCCGGGCGCGGATCAATGGCTGGACCCTGCCACCACACCCGTTACAGTGTGTAGCCTGGTTTGCTGTCATCTACTTCGCCTTCTTCTACTTTACCACCTTTGTGCCGGCTCTCCCTGACGAGTGGCAGATTGCAGGCTATGTCGTATCCTTTTGAGACAATATTGTAGAGGTATGTGTTGGGTATTTTGGATAAATGCTGCAGATTATTTTGAATGACTAAATGAGGATACTTTTACTCTGGATATGAAGAGTATTGATGCTGCAGACAGAGGAGTCTTATTGGTTCTCTGAGTTACGTAGGACAAATTTTAATCAGATCATTGTTGAGATGTGGATGTAGACAGAGGAGTCTTATTGGTTGTCTCAGTTACGTAGGACAAATTTTAATCAGATCATTGTTGAGATGTGGATGTAGACAGAGGGGTCTTATTGGTTCTCTGAGTTACGTAGGACAAGTTTTAATCAAATCATTGTTGAGATGTGGATGCAGACAGAGGAATCTTATTGGTTCTCTGAGTTACGTAGGACAAATTTTAATCAGATCATTGTTGAGATGCGGATGTAGACAGAGGAGTCTTATTGGTTGTCTGAGTTACGTAGGATAAAGTTTAATCAGATCATTGTTGAGATGTGGATGTAGACAGAGGAGACTTATTGGTTGTCTGAGTTACGTAGGACAAGTTTTAATCAGATAATTGTTGAGATGTGGATGTAGACAGAGGAGTCTTATTGGTTGTCTGAGTTACGTAGGATAAAGTTTAATCAGATCATTGTTGAGATGTGGATGTAGACAGGAGTCTTATTGGTTGTCTGAGTTACGTACGGCAAGTTTTAATCAGATCATTGTTGAGATGTGGATGTAGACAGGAGTCTTATTGGTTGTCTGAGTTACGTACGGCAAGTTTTAATCAGATCATTGTTGAGATGTGGAGAGGAGTCTTATTGGTTCTCTGAGTTACGTAGGACAAGTTTTAATCAAATCATTGTTGAGATGTGGATGCAGACAGAGGAATCTTATTGGTTCTCTGAGTTACGTAGGACAAATTTTAATCAGATCATTGTTGAGATGCGGATGTAGACAGAGGAGTCTTATTGGTTGTCTGAGTTACGTAGGATAAAGTTTAATCAGATCATTGTTGAGATGTGGATGTAGACAGTGGAGGCTTATTGGTTGTCTGAGTTACGTAGGACAAGTTTTAATCAGATCACTGTTGAGATGTGGATGTAGACAGTGGAGTCTTATTGGTTGTCTGAGTTACGTAGGACAAATTTTAATCAGATCATTGTTGAGATGCGGATGTAGACAGAGGAGTCTTATTGGTTGTCTGAGTTACGGAGGACAAGTTTTAATCAGATCATTGTTGAGATGTGGATGTAGACAGGAGTCTTATTGGTTGTCTGAGTTACGTAGGACAAGTTTTAATCAGATCATTGTTGAGATGTGGATGTAGACAGTGGAGTCTTATTGGTTGTCTGAGTTACGTAGGACAAGTTTTAATGTGGATGTAGACAGAGGAAACTTATTGGTTCACTGAGTTATGTAGGACAAGTTTTAATCAGATCATTGTTGAGATGTGGATGTAGACAGTGGAGTCTTATTGGTTGTCTGAGTTACGTAGGACAAGTTTTAATGTGGACGTAGACAGAGGAAACTTATTGGTTCTCTGAGTTACGTAGGACAAGTTTTAATCAGATCATTGTTGAGATGTGGAAGATTTCCATATATCACTAATAACTCAGTTTTCCTCTTATGAAGTGAAATAAACAACATTAAAGACTATTTATAAAAGTTAGATCTGACTCCTCCCACCCGTAATCACCCGTAATCACACCTAATGACCCTCCACTACACTGGTGACTTTGAAGGCCAGGTTTACCATGACTAGTGGTATTTGTTTATATCTATTGGTATATCCTATATTAACTCAGTCTCTTCTGGGTTTTTTATTTTCCATTATACAGCTTCTAAATAAACCTACCAAGCTGAAATGTGGTTTTGAAAGTGTAGCACCAAGAAATATGAAGTGATTTTTTTCCGATTTGAAATGTTCAGGTCGTTTTGTCATACTGTTAAACTTGTTAGAAAATCAGGGACCAATTATTTCAATGTTAAATTCAAACTTTAATGCAAATTACCAAAAGTTTACAGTCATTGAAAACACTACCTTGAACCAAAAGAAACCTAAAAGTGAGATAGAATAGATTTTTTTTTTTTTTTTTTAAATGTATAGATTGAAATATATGTCCATAACATACATGATGATATAAAACCAAGTCGCTAACAAATATTTACTGATATATTCTACTGTTCAGGTTTCATGTCATCATAAATGTCTCTGAAGAGGCAGTCTGTGATAGATTCAGTCACTGAATTGATATACACATTTCAAATACTTGTTTTATGGAAAAAAAAGCCTACACCCAGGTTTTACCGTTTCCCATTCTCTGTAATTTCTGTGCTCTGTAATCATGGTTATAAATTGAAGCTGCATGCTTGTTGTGTATTAATCCTTAGTGATACTTTCTCATGCACACCTCCCAGTGCTTCAGTATTGATGATATACATGTATCTTAACTCATTCACCCCTGAAGACACATTTGAACACTTCCAATTCAAAGGTTGGAAAAGTTTATTATGCAATTTCAGGGGTGAATGAGTTAATAGTCATCCTTTTCCATTCATTGAAATACCAAATTCCATTTGATAATTTGTGGTTTTGAAAGTGGCTCTGAGAGAGAACAACACATCAATAGATCATATTGCTTAAACTCCATTGATGGTTTCCTGGCTGTGTTTTTTGCATCTTTCAGACAAAGGTTTCTAAACCACAATAAAGGTCTGTGTTTTTAGGAACAAGTGTTGGTAAATGTACCATAGATATAACTGTGGTCAGGTGGTCCTTTGGGAAAAAGATATTCCTCATGTCTTGATAAGGGCGGGTGTATGACTTGCTTGATTAGGGGCCTTGGTATTACTTGCTTGATAAGGGGACAGGGTGTTACTTGCTTGATAAAGGGGACATGGTGTTACTTGCTGGATAAGGGAGCATGGTGTTACTTGCTTGATAAGGAGACATGGTGTTACTTGCTTGATAAGGAGACATGGTGTTACTTGTTTGATAAGGGGACATGTTGTTACTTGCTCGATAAGGGGACATGGTGTTACTTGCTTGATAAGGGGACATGGTGTTACTTGCTTGATAAGGGAACATGGTGTTACTTGCTTGATAAGGGGACAGGGTGTTACTTGCTTGATAAGGGAGCATGGTGTTACTTGCTTGATAAGGGGACATGGTGTTACTTGCTTGATAAGGGGACATGGTGTTACTTGCTCGATAAGGGACATGGTGTTACATGCTTGATAAAGGGACATGGTGTTACTTGCTTGATAAGGGGACAGGGTGTTACTTGCTTGATAAGGAGACATGGTGTTACTTGCTGGATAAGGGGACACGGTGTTACTTGCTTGATAAAGGGATATGGTGTTACTTGCTTGCTAAGGAGAATGGTGTTACTTGCTTGATAAGGAGACATGGTGTTACTGGCTTGATAAGGGGACAGGGTGTTACTTGCTTGATAAGGAGACATGGTGTTACTGGCTTGATAAGGGGACAGGGTGTTACTTGCTTGATAAGGGGACATGGTGTTACTTGCTTGATAAGGAGAATGGTGTTACTTGCTTGATAAGGAGACATGGTGGTACTTGCTCGATAAAAGGACATGGTGTTACTTGCTTGATAAAGAGACATGGTGTTACTTGCTGGATAAGGGGACATGGTGTTACTTGCTTGATAAAGGGACATGATGTTACTTGCTGGATAAGGGAGCATGGTGTTATTTGCTTGATAAGGAGACATGTTGTTACTTGCTGGGTAAAAGGACATGGTGTTACTTGCTGGATAAGGGGATATGGTGTTACTTGCTTGATAAGGAGACATGGTGTTACTTGCTGGATAAGGGGACATGGTGTTACTTGCTTGGTAAGGGGACATGGTGTTACTTGCTTTATAAAGGGATATGGTGTTACTTGCTTGATAAAGGGACATGATGTTCCTTGCTGGATAAGGGATTATGGTGTTATTTGCTTCATAAGGAGACATGTTGTTACTTGCTGGGTGAAGGACATGGGGCTACTTGCTTGATAAGGAGACATGGTTTTACTTGCTGGATAAGGGGACATGGTGTTACTTGCTTTATAAAGGGATATGGTGTTACTTGCTTGATAAAGGGACATGATGTTACTTGCTGGATAAGGGATTATGGTGTTATTTGCTTGATAAGGAGACATGTTGTTACTTGCTGGGTGAAGGACATGGTGTTACTTGCTTGATAAGGAGACATGGTATTACTTGTTGGATAAGGGGACATGGTGTTACTTGCTTGATAAGGGGAATGGTGTTACTTGCTTGATAAGGAGACATGGTGTTACTTGCTGGATAAGGGGATATGATGTTACTTGCTGGATAAGGGAGCATGGTGTTATTTTCTTGATAAGGAGACATGTTGTTACTTGCTGGATGAAAGGACATGGTGTTACTTGCTTGATAAGGAGACATGGTATTACTTGTTGGATAAGGGGACATGGTGTTACTTGCTTGATAAGGAGACAGGGTGTTACTTGCTTGATAAGGAGACAGGGTGTTACTTGCTGGATAAGGGAGCATGGTGTTACTTGCTGGATAGGGGAGCATGGTGTTACTTGCTTGATAAGGGGGACATGGTGTTACTTGCTTGATAAGGGGACATGGTGTTACTTGCTTGATAAGGGGACATGGTGTTACTTGCTTGATAAGGAGACATGGCGTTACTTGCTTGATAAGGGGCCGTGGTATGACTTGCTAGATAAGGGGCCATGGTATGACTTGCTTGATAAAGGGACATGATGCAACTTGTTTGATAAGGGGTCATGATGCAACTACTGGATAAAGGGACATGGTGCAACTTGTTTGATAAGAGGGGACAGAAATTGTATGAATTCCTTGTTAGGGGACATATATACTTTATAAGGTGACGGTGATTGACTTTTAAGGGGACATATGGTGTGACTTTCCAGTTAAGGGAGAGATTGTGTGACATTAGCCCCCTGGAAATAGTGTGATGTTATAGTCCCTTGGGAAGGGTGTGATGTTATAGTCCCGTGGG